TGTAGCGCTCGCTGAACTCGAGCACCGACAGCCCGTGCTTCGCCGCGTACGGCTCCAGGACGTGCGTGAAGTGCGTCGCCTCCGTCTCGGGCGGGATCCCGAGCCCGTCCGGGCGGTACCGCGAGAGCCCCGACTTCGGGTCCATGCGCGGCTCCGCGACCCACACCGTGTGGTACTCCTTAATCGCCGCCTGGATCGCGCGCTTCAGCCACGCCCGGTTCGCGTCCATGTCGCTGCGGTCCAGCTGGTTGTAGATCTGCAGCGCCATGTCCGTCAAGAACGGCGGTTGCGTCCGGCAGAGGTAGTAGCTCCGGCTCCCGTTCAGGATCTTGCCGTAGTGCTTGATCTCGAAGATGAAGTGGTCCACCATGCCCCTGGCCAGGTTCACGTACCCGTCCACCAGCAGGCCGAGCGAGATGAAGTACGAGTCCCAGTTGTACAGCTGCGTCGGTCGTCGCTGTCAGCGCACGCCCGACAAAGCGCGCGATGGCGCCACTCACCTCGTTGAACCGTGCTCCCGGGACGACGAACGGGATGCCCTTCAGCGTCTTGCCGCCCTTCCCGTCGCTCACCTCGTTCATGGCCAGCGCGAGGATCCCGGGCTTGTGGTTCAGGCTCTTCACGAAGTGCGGGTCGTCCGGCGTCGCCGGGAGCACCTGCACGTCCAGGTTCAGGTGCGGCTTCTCCGCCGCCACCCGCCGGTAGTACTCCGCCATCGCAGGCTCGCCGTGCGGCACGTAGATCCGCGGGTTCACGCGCCCCGTCCGGTTCTTCGGGTCCGCGCAGATGATCTCCAGCCCGTCGCCGTCGATGCGCCGCGTCAGCGCGTGCCAGAACGAGTTCTTGATCATCCGCGACAGGCGGTCCACCGGGTTCTCCGTCAGCCGCGCCTCGTCCAGCACGATCCGCTTGCGCCCGTGGTCGCGCGCCAGCGCCAGCTCTTGCAGCAGGTTCGACAGCATGTACGTGCCCTGCCGGACAGCATGTCAGCGGCACCGCGTCGGTGTGCTATGGGATGCGTGCGTGCGTGCGCGCGCGTACATACCCGGATATCGAACGTCTTGAAGCCGTTGCTCGTCGCCGTGCCGAGCGACATCAGCTTCGGGCCTGCGTCCGTCACGCTGATCTGGAAGTCGCCGTCCGTGTCCTCTTGCTCCAGGATCACGCGGATCGTCTCCTCGACGTCGATCAGGAATCGGCGCGGGCCTGTGCTCTTCTCGTCGTGCGACATTCGCCGCTGTCTGCGCACCCAGTCGTTGTCGAACGCCGCGCGCTTCGGGTTGTATCCATGGGCGAAGGACTGTGCGGACGGATTAGCGAGCGTTCAACGGTACAGGTGGCAGTGTCCTGTGGGCAATTGACAGCAGAAGAGAGCCTGCTGCGAGTCGCACACGGCTCAGACGCTTGATGTATGCGCACCGCACGCAAGACTGAAAGACCTCAGAACTGGCTCGATCGCCCCTGCTCGACGCGTGAAGACATACAGAAATGCGCCACTACAGCCAAAATGGCTCGGTCATTGCACGCAGTTGCAGATCCCTCCGCCGCGAAGACGCCGTCACACTGGAGAGGTACACCACACATGGAGACCGCATATACGCAGTGTCTAATGCAAGGCAGTCCTACCGATCTCTGCGATCCATTGAGGGTCGGAGAGCGCGATGGGCGCGGAGTTGGGGCAGCACACTTTCGAGGCACGGCTGGGCCTGTTACTCCTTGGACAGAGGATCAAGGCATCCCGCGGAGCACGGAGTAGCAAAGGGCTGTCGGGCGGGCGGTACTCACGGCGCTGTATGTCCTGGAGCGGCTGAACTGCTCTTGTCCGCCGTAGTAGGTAGCGGCGTCGGTGTTGACGGGACGCTGCTCGTCGATGAAGTTGACGCCCGTTGGATGGGTAAGTGCGGGGGCCATGGTGGTCGAATGGGCGGAGTTGATGATGGATTCAAGAAGGTGTGCGGAGCTTAAGAATGGGTGTGACCGGAATACGGTAGAAGGGCGAGGACGGACGGGTCTAGGGTGATATGGAGGAAGGAGGGAAGAGGAGGATGAGGCAGAGGCGGTGGAGTAGGATTGTGTCTGAATCGGCGCGTGTGCCGATGGGAGCGCTGGTGCGCCTTGTCTGCCGTCCGTCTTGGTATACGGGCAACGCGTTACGCGAGCCTGCGCCTGCATACGCCTGCTTGTATTTATCCATCTCGGCTCACTCAGCGTCTCCCGCACCTCTGTCGGTCACCTGCCCGCCCACGGATTCTCGCATCTCATACTCAGGTCCCAGGGCTTCCCCTGCCATCGACAGATCGTCTCTAGTGCCGACATGGCGATGCATGACACCGCTCGCACCCCAGCGCGAGATCCGGTCTCCTGGCGCGTCGCTCTTTCCCCGGACTGTCACCCTCCAGCGCCCGCCGGGAAGGCCCTGCCCCATGGCACCATGTCCCGGGCTCGCTGATGGTCCCATGGGCCATATACGCTGGCTGCCCAGCCACGATCCGCTGGGGATGGCTGTATCACGCCGCGCGCTCAAAGACCGTCTGCCCACACCACTGACAGACCGTCGCGGGATTAGTCCGGGCCCGCGCGTTGCACGACCATGGCCCGTCAATCACCAGGGCCACAGTGTGAAGGCGGCCGCTGCATTTGCGCTGCACGCGCCCCGTCAAGCTGCCGCACAGGAAGGGCGGTCAGTACGCGTTCGCTTGCGACGTGTCGCCGTCATAGTTTACAGCATCGTGGATGCCTATCGCAGACACGCCTGACGTCAGTCGACAGCTTTCACGCGCACGGCCACGAGGCGATCGGGCATGTTCTGCTCGCGATCGGAAGCCCTGCGCCCTCGCTTCAAGCACGCTGTTGTCTCGCCGCGGCCCACAGCAACGCTCTCGTCAATTCCACTCGCCAGGGATCGTCGGCACGTATCTTGACGTCAGCGCAGCTCGTATCTCGCATCCTCGCTGGCTGCCCTGGCTATCGTTCGCGTCCAAACGAGCGACTTCCTCACACTAGACGACCTCGAAAACACACCGGGCCCTGCCGCTCCGCACTCCCTGTGGCGGGCACGGATCCTCGCGGCCGGCGCGGCGGCTGCGTCGGTACGTCTTTTGCGAACACTGACCGTCCTCGTTCGCTGTTCGCGCTCTGTGCTGCAGCCTCACCGCTCTCGTGTGCAAGCCCGTCACCCTGCCCGATCACCTTCAGCTTTTCTGTCGTCTGCGACACCCGCGTACACTCGCGCGCGCAACAGACGACCGACTCTAGGCAGCGTCCGTGTCCTCCAGCCTCCTGCGCACCCCCTCGCCTCCAAACATGGGCTGCCCTGTTACACTACGCTGGTCGTCGCTCAGCCTGATCTCCCACAATCCTGTCCATGTGTACCATTTCTGTCCCACGCCGTCTCACTCACTCCGCTGCCAGCCGACCCCTTACAAGGCATCTCGTAAGCCCGCAGTGTACGCGCTCTAATCATACTGCCCATCGTGTGCGTCAACCCCGGTCACTATCTACCCACGCGCGCGTCCCGCTATCTAATCGTCAGCCATCCCGCGTCACCTGCGTTCCGCACGCCCCGCTGCGCTCACAGCCCCACATCTACACGATTAGCCCCGTCCGCGCCTGCATCCTCCCGCTGCCAGTGCTTCAGAGCAGGCACACGGATGCCGATCGTCCACGTCATCGCAGCGGAATAATGCGACCACCTACAAATTTCACATTGTATCAAGCATTTCGTTTGCATGGAGATCATCACCCATCACTTACCAGTCGGCGCGGATGTAGGATGCGACGTTCTGGCCGACCATCTACGCGGCCGCGGGCCAAACATCTCGTTTCGTTCAATCTACTCAGCCGCGACGACGGTCCCCAGCGCTCCCTGACCTCATTAACACCATCAGCCCTGTTAGCTTGCCATCACCGCACACACGCAGCACTCACCCCGCGTACTCGGTACGTCATATACTCCAGCCATCATCTGGCGAGATCGACCGATACGCACTGCACAGGGGAATGGTCTGCAGCACGCCTACAGTGGCGTACACGGTGAGTGGCGTGACGCAGCACTATTAAAAACAACAGCAGCTTACCTGACCAGCATCCAGCCGTGCAGCACTACTCGGCCGGACAGCGGGCGAACAAGACAGCAGACAGCGCACATCGCGAACAGTGGCACAGTGAAAGACGCGTCGCAAATGACACAGGACTCTCTGACGACGCCCGCCTTTAAATCCCTCGCACGCTCCCCCGGCCTGTCGCGATTCCCACGACTGCCGCCCGCACATCTCGCATAGGCTGCCGCGTCGCTAAATGGTGACTACTCGCCCGAAACCATGACGGCAACACCCCCGCGTTCCCGCCCGCGTACCTAGCCCCGAACGTGAGCGGTCATTCTGCTTGACGCGGACGGACACACCCCCGACGTACGCACCCTTCAGATCCACCGGCCGCGACGCCCCCACATCGTCCGTCACCCTTATGGCTACGGTGACGACGCCTGCGTCGCACACAGCGTCCCCACACAATCAATGCCGTGCCCGCGCCCGCGCGTGCGCATCTTCGTATTCACACCATTCGCGTGACCGCCACTGTTCGTCGCGTCGCCCTGCGCTGCGTGATCGGCGTCTTGGCTCTTCACGTAAGTATGCGCCCGACACGCCGTCCCTCCTCGCGACGCACGCTGGCCTGCCATCATCTCGGCATGTCCCTCGCGAGCCCCCCACGCGCTCTAGCGAGCTGGCCGCTGCTACGGCTCGCGCCTGCGCTGGATTCTGAGGACGAGGAATGTGCGTCGCGCCGGGTGCCAGAGCAACGTGCAGGATGCTCCGGCGCGAAGCTCCAGTGCTGGCGTTGCGTCCCCGGTCAGACACCATCAGTCGGGTAAATAAGGAGAATGGCAACGGCGACAAGAACAGCGCCGAGCGGCATGCGCAACACGCGCGCGCAGCCGACGATCTGGCATCCAGACGACTGCTCCCGCACCCAGAGCGGCGATGCGGGCGCATTATCGGCAGCCGTCGATTTACCCCACAACGCGTGCGCCGTCAAACTACGCCGGTCGCACATCCTAGCGGCGGGGGGATCTAGTCTGCGCGCGCCGCCTCTGGTGATCCCGCCGCGATGATGCGGACGATGCGCGTCCTCGTCGCCGCAATAGGAGCGGGCGGGAGGACGCGGCCGCGGTCCTCTCTCTCTCGCATTCGTTCGGCCACTAACTCCCTGCGCACTTTCAGCCGTCGACCACATCCCGCTGTCGTCCCTCGTGCGTTCCGTCGCTCCCCTCGGTCCCCCACTGCTCAGTCGCTCTCCCGCTGCTCAGTCGCTCTCCCGCTGCTCAGTCGCTCTCCCGCTGCCCAGTTGCTCTCCCACTGCCATGTCATCTCCCCCGACTTCGCGCGCCACATCCGCGGCACGCAACGCGAGAAGGACACGGTGTCGTGCACGCGCCAGAGCTCGCGCGCTGCCCACCCGGCTCGCCCACCGTGCAGCACGATCTGGTGCCAGGCAATTTGCAAAGTATGTAGCCAAAGACCCACGGTGGGCTCGTAGATCAATGGCGCACCGCTCGGCCGTTGCATGCCGCACACCGCACGTCGCTGCGTAGGGCCCCGCGTGGAAAAAGCCACCAGGCGCGTGGCGCGCGGAGACGGTCCACGTCTCCCTAGCTACATCGCCAATCAATCGAGGGCTTGCCCCCGGTACTTGCGTTGCCGGCGCGCGGGGATCTGAATGGCCTGCATGTTCGCAGCCGCAGCGCTGTGCAGCCGGAGCCAGCCAAGACGAGAAGCTCGCCAGTCGCGGACACCCCCGCCGCAGAATGCGCTACAGAACACGCTACGTGTGGTAAGCTTCACCCCACGTGTTCTGTACCCGACGCCCGAGACTCCCCGCGGCGGCGTTGGTAGCGTGGTGCGCGTTGTTCATTTGGTATGTTGCGCGCATCTCTCAGACGGATGGCGGCGTCGTGTACTTACGCCCGGTCACAAATCTGCAGGTTTTACCCACTCGGTGCCTAGCCGAACAATCTGACGTGCACACGGCCTCCTGCGTCGCTTCGCGCGTCCGCACTCGGTCCAACTCCACGATCGCAAACCTCCTGCCGTGCGCGCAAGACGTCTACCGCCGTCGATTGAGACTCGCTCGCGGCAGCAATCTGCCTTGCGCGTTTCTGAGCATCCCCCGCGCTGCACAAGTTGTGAGCTCGACTCTCACTCGCGCAGACAGCTGCTCTTGAAATCGCACCGCTGGCGTGTCCTTCGCTGACGCCTCTCTTGGCACCAGCATCTCCACTGTCACCCTGCACACGTGCCTCCATTTCGTCTGATTTCCCCCGTTTTGTATTCCCCGCTTTGTATTCCCCTTTTTGCATTTATCACCACATCCATTGTCTACCCGCACTGGTACAGTGTATTTGTTCGGAACCCTGCAGCAGGAGACAGTCAAGGACGCACGGCAAGCATGACCGCCTGCCTCTTCCGAGATCGCTCGCACGCCAACATGGTGCCAGATCGCGCAGAGACAGATAGATACAAGTAAGTACACGAGCGAGCAAGATGAGATGCGTTGTTATGAGCCACACAATAGGACACGCAGGCAAGTAGGAGCTGCGTGGATCAGTCGCGACAGCCGGTGTGTGCGGGGGACTCTGCACAACGCGTGCGTGCATGCGTGCGCCAGCGTCAACGAGCATGTGTGATCGCACGCGGTTGGCGGTGCGTCCCTCGCGTCTGCCTGTCGCGGAGACTCAGCCGTTGCCTGTGATCTGGCTAATAGACCTTGTGTCGGGCTGCGGGCTGACATGGGCACAGCGGGCGCGGGCGGCGGACCAACAGACTGGATGGTAGGCGTGGAGATTTCAGGCAGCGAGCTGCAACACCGCCGTCTAGCAAGTCCTCACGGAGGACGACGGTCAGACACAGAGCGAGAGGTTAGTAGATAGCACATGAATATCGGAAGCAGCATGGCTCACCGAGGCATGCAGAGAGAAGACCGGCTGCATGGGACGGGAGTACAGCACGAGCGAAGCGGTAGCGTGAGTACGTACACCGGGCAACCGGACGCCGCGCGCGCTGTGTGAGCACTGCGGTCAGCGGTCAGTGAGATGCTCAAAATGCGAACGTGATGGAAATGCTTACCGTGGCGACAGCGCAGACACAGGATGACGTGCGGGGGTGCGGACAGGTAAGGACGGACAAACAGTGTACACGGACAGATCAGCGGGACAAACAAAACAGTGAGTGCAAAGAGGATGCACCGACGTCAACTGCGTCGGCTGAGAGCCGATCGTCTGGCGTCCCCTTGCAACACGCTCCTGCGCGCACGTCGCTATCAGACAGCCGAGGCGAGCCCTGTCGCTCGTATACTGCGCTGCCCAGTCATTTATGTGTGTGGCTTACCGGAATGCACCTTAAAATATATCTGTTTGATGTGATCAGCAGGGACCGGCAGCTTTGACAATTCCATGTCGCATCTTCCAAGAAGTCATAAATTATTGTCATGGTGAAATGATTGGGATTACATACTTCCCGTGTGAATTTCTCACCGCTGCTTATTGTCTGGCCGACGCCGTGATGGGTGTTATGTGTGTGTATATATACACTGTGTGAATCATTTCCGGTGACCCTCTTGCTCCTTTCCTTGCCGTTGCTTTCCTTTTTGCTTTCATGCAGGTGTTGTAATCTTTCTATTTCTGTCCTTGATTCCTCTCATCACCAGCCTCCGAGTAAGTGTATTTATATCTGTTATAATACTTTTACTGAAATTGCCTCACCAGCTTCTCTGTTGTTGGTCACAACAACTTGTGTTCAAAGAGGCGGTGACAGCAGCGGCCACGCACATTGTTGGTGAGATGCGGTGAGTGCCACAATTGAGGCGCATGATCGATCGGTGCTCATCCCGATTAGGACACTAAAATGGCATGATGCTTATTCACTCGTTTCTCCTACCATGAAGGTGTTGTCACTCGAGCATGACCCCCTGTTTGCCCTCCTCAATGTCAGTGTAACTGGCCATTGTGGTGCCCCGCCCCGCTGCAAACTTGCTCGGTATGTATATGGTGTGCGAGCGGCGAGTTATCTTGCCGTCTCTGGCGGTGACCATCTCTGGATGTGCACTGCGCGTTCACAGCTGACCGGGTTTGGCCAGTATTGGTCGTCGTTAGCGCGCGTGGGAGACGGCTGGACGACACGCTTGTGCGCGGGTGAAATGTCACCTTGACGTCCCGGTTGACGCATCTGTCTGTCCGGGAGACTTTGGAGCAGACCGGAGACTGCAAAGGCGCGGTCGAAGGTGCTTCTGCAGTTGTCCTGTTCAGCGGCAGACGGTGGAAGGACTGGGCGGGAGACGGCGGTGGTGGCTTGAGAGACGGGCGCGATGGGCACGGCGAGCTCGACACGCAGGGCCCGGGATATGTATGCAACGAGGCTGTAGTAGACTATGCAATATATTTACATACCGCGCTCTTCTATGCCCTCGCCCTCTACCGCCCTCTATTACCTCGCCCGCTACTCTCCTCTATTGCCCTGCACTCCACTGTGCTCTATGCCCTCACCCCCTACTCTCCTCTATTGCCCTGCACTTGGCCTATCTCTCGAATTTCACTCGGTCAGTTCTCGCACGCTGGTGGCCCACCATCTCCGCATCATCCTGCCCGGTCAGCGCTCGCCAATACAGCCCAGATGCTGGACCCATTTCCGTGGGAACCAGCCATCACGCGTGCCTTCGATGCCATCTCCTCAAGTAGGCGTCGTACGTATACCCCCACGGTCCCCTTCTCGGGCATATAATCAGGATGTAGTGTTATATATTCACATAGAAGTACCATACACATAGGCCCGGTGTAGTGCAACAATAACAACAGCAGGGTATCAAAGTCCAAGGTGGGCACTCCAACAGCCACGTATATCGCCGCTTTCAAGGCGACCTCGTTGAACCGTGCTCCCGGGACGACGAACGGGATGCCCTTCAGCGTCTTGCCGCCCTTCCCGTCGCTCACCTCGTTCATGGCCAGCGCGAGGATCCCGGGCTTGTGGTTCAGGCTCTTCACGAAGTGCGGGTCGTCCGGCGTCGCCGGGAGCACCTGCACGTCCAGGTTCAGGTGCGGCTTCTCCGCCGCCACCCGCCGGTAGTACTCCGCCATCGCAGGCTCGCCGTGCGGCACGTAGATCCGCGGGTTCACGCGCCCCGTCCGGTTCTTCGGGTCCGCGCAGATGATCTCCAGCCCGTCGCCGTCGATGCGCCGCGTCAGCGCGTGCCAGAACGAGTTCTTGATCATCCGCGACAGGCGGTCCACCGGGTTCTCCGTCAGCCGCGCCTCGTCCAGCACGATCCGCTTGCGCCCGTGGTCGCGCGCCAGCGCCAGCTCTTGCAGCAGGTTCGACAGCATGTACGTGCCCTGCCGGACAGCATGTCAGCGGCACCGCGTCGGTGTGCTATGGGATGCGTGCGTGCGTGCGCGCGCGTACATACCCGGATATCGAACGTCTTGAAGCCGTTGCTCGTCGCCGTGCCGAGCGACATCAGCTTCGGGCCTGCGTCCGTCACGCTGATCTGGAAGTCGCCGTCCGTGTCCTCTTGCTCCAGGATCACGCGGATCGTCTCCTCGACGTCGATCAGGAATCGGCGCGGGCCTGTGCTCTTCTCGTCGTGCGACATTCGCCGCTGTCTGCGCACCCAGTCGTTGTCGAACGCCGCGCGCTTCGGGTTGTATCCATGGGCGAAGGACTGTGC